TTTGGCTTTAGTCGTGGAAGGTCGCAAAAAGCGACGCTTTTGGTCGTGCACGTCGCGAAACTTATCGAACAACACAAACGAGCAAATTCATGTTTTTTTTTCTTTCTTTTCTTTTTTAAAATATGGTTTTAGAGGTTCTGGTATAGTGCCTGTAACGCTTCTCCGACATGTTTGTTGGTTTCATGGGCCCTTTAAAGAGCTCCGCCTTCATCTCGAGCTCGCTGGCTTCCGCAGTGCTTTTGTTGCGCACTTGTGTTAGCACGGCCGGACTGGATACGTGGTCGCTGTGTTACGGCCTCTTCAGTGAGGCACACTAACACCGACGTTTCCGAAGTGGCGCTGGCGCGTCCTAGAAAAAGTGGCGCCATTCATTGTTGTGGAAATGCTCGAGGTGGGTGCTTAGAGATTCATCGCTGGGCAGCTGATGAAAAGACTCGCCAGGAGTCTTCCCCGAGTTTGAATGGTAGTTCGGAACAAAACAGAAGACCATCGCTGAGGCAACCTTTGAGCATGAGGGTGACGCTGCGACTTTAGCTGGTATTCAGTGGCGGCCATAAGTGAGCCCCTTGCTGCTGAGCACTTGGGGATGCAATTCGCAACTCACTGGCGCTCATAAAATGGTAGAAAGAGTCTCGAGTAAGAGTACGTTCAACTACTCGCCTGGGTTAAGTGTTTATGGGCCATTAAATTTGAATTTTTTTGCTGGGGTTCTATGGGGCTACAGGTGGTTTGTCAATGTAACTCCGGTTATAAACAGCCCTGGAGATGCTTGACTATTTTACGCGAAAAATAAAATATCACTTTTCTTTAGACGCCATTTTTGTTCCGATGGGATAAGTATTTTTTTAACGTTAAAAAGGGTATAATCCGCCATCTCTAACGCCGATATTAAACTACAAACGCTCTCCATGGTTTGAGTTAAACGCACTCTTATACTTGAGGCTCTCTATCGAAATTGCCGTCATCTGGATGATCGTCGTAGAACAGTTGCGCGAGGCTGGGTCTGCGACGTGTAAATAATCCTGGTTTTGCTATATACGAGCAGTATTAAAGCCTTTTTTCTTTTTTTTTTTTTACGTCAGGACGGTGTAGGCAAGCACCTTTATTGTAAGGCTAATCACCCAGGAGCTAAGGAGCGCGATTCTCACACCGCGGTACCACCATCGCTGAAAGTTACGAATAAGTAGCAGGTTCGTCTGCTTCTTTTGTGCAGGGGTGGCAGTGACTTCAGAAGGCCGAGCTCTGATTGGCTCTGGCTGGGAAGATAGTGGGTAGACCTCAATGCTTGGTGCGTGCCTCGAGGTCTACCCACTATCCTCCCAGCCGGAGCCAATCAGAGCTCAGCGTTCTGACGTCACTGCCAACCCCCCCCCCCCCCCCCCCCCCCCCCCCGGGTGGTTCCCGTTTCGACCCATTCCCAAAACAACCTTCCCGTCTGTACCTTCCCGTTTCGACCCGTCTCAAAACGACCTTCCCGTTTCATCCTTTCCCATTTCGCCCTTTCCCGGAACAACCTTCCCGCTTCGGCCATCGTTCGGTTCGTTTGTATTGTTCGTTAACAGTTGATTAGGTTCAAGTGTCCAGTGACTATTCTTCTTGCCCACATCACTTCTCCCTCTCCCGAAACAACCTCGGAGACATGGCACCGTAAGATAAACGCTGTGTCAGGGAGGGCTCATCCAAACATTTACAACTGCAGACGGGACGGAGCCTTGACAAGGATATCGCTGCAGCAGCTTGCAAATGGTGGTGACGTGCGGGCCAGGTGACCGCCGCGAACTATCACAATTGGAGTGTCGCCTTTCTGATGGCGCGATTTTCCTGCCCGACTTCTTCAACCGAGGCGATAGCATTTTGTGGTTTATGGTTTTTGCCTGTGTACGTAACGGTTCTGTGTTTGAACTTGTAAGAAAATGAAGTCGCGATCATATGCCCGTCAGCCTCTCTGATTTATCACTCTCAAAAATATCCCGTTCATTATAAGCAAGTTTTAGAATAACGTACGCAAGCGCTTTGGGTAGCTTAAAAATAGCGCAGCGATATAAAAACTCAAGCAACGCTAATTTTTGCTGACTCAAAGTGCTTGCCTGCGTTACTGTAAGACTTTATTAGGGAATTTTAGTAGACCGCGTTTCCCCTTTCGATAAACCCTCCTCGACAAAGAAGCCGCTACTGCGCCTTCGCGCCGATGGCCTTGATTGTAAAGTTCTGGGTATCGTAGCGGGTTGCGGAGGAGCGTCGCGTGACGTTGAAAACGCTCTACAAAAGCTCCCTGTTATTGTACAGAGCGCGAAACCGTTAGCGCGAAGAAGCGATTGTTGGTTTTAGCTGTTTGTCTAAAAAAATCAGAAGACTGCCATCAATATTATTAGTGTATTTGAAAGTGCTCATCCGATCCATTAACCTAAGCGGTAAAATTTGGTACCTTCTAACACCATTTCGAAGTAACATTCGAAAAATCGCCAAGATCGCGTTCGCGGTAACGTTGTCCCGCAGTGTACATAGTCCATTTCGTAGTTAAACATTTTAAGGACCATCTTGAAAGAAACATTTTAAGTGGTTCAAGTAGAAATATATTTCGTTGAAGCTTGTCTGAAAGTATAGCATATTTTAAGAATACGTTTACAAGCAAAAATATTTCACAAAATAACTGAGTTGCTCTCTTGCACCTTTGCATTAATTGCATTAACACGATTTCGGGACATATTCTTAAGCAGAAAAACTGCGCAAACCAAGATTAGAACGATGGCCACTTTTTGCGAAGAGGTTGAGATGCGCGGGGTTTTATACCAACGGGTTCAAACTGGAAGAATTCAAACGTTAAATATGTCTTGGCTACGGGTTCAAATATGAAGGGCGTTTCGGGAACGGGTTGAAACGGGACAGGTTCAAACGGGAAGGTCGTTTCGGGAACGGGTCGAAACGGGACGGGTTCAAACGGGAAGGTCGTTTCGGGAATGGGTCAAAACGGGACGGGTTCAAACGGGACTGGGTTGTTTCGGGCTACACCCCCCCCCCCCCCCCCCCTCCCGCAAAAGAAGCAGACGAACTTGCGCACGCACAGTTGGCTCGTAGCGCCCTCACGGTTGAATGGTGCTCATGCTTTCGTCTGCGACTGAAAAGGCCGTAAGGGATGAATCGATAGCGCGAATCCAGTCCGGCCGTGGTATTAGCAAAGACTGAAAACTCGCGCTGGAAGGCTGAATTTCTAGTCTCGGTTAGTGCGACTAAATAAGCTACGCTTTAGAGTAACGACGCTTGCCCATTTTGTGTCTTAAAATCATGGTTGCCAGTTATCTGAAGCTTTATCTGAAATCACAGAAAACGCTTTCCGCCCTCCACAAACGTTTAAACTGTTCGCGACAGAGGAAAGCAAATATTACATGAGATTCCTAACACCGAATCTAATGCTGAGGAAGTGGCACTTTTGAATCATGACGACCGGCAGTTGCGTTCGCTCTGCACAAGCACCAAAATGGCGGCGCCCACAACAATGCCCGGGAACAGAGTGCTGATACTCTAAGCGCGGCTCATTTAGTGGCTCTAGTGGAACTCGGGCATGAAAAGTGGTTCCTTTATTTTTAGCCTGGTGACATCGTCGTAGAAGTGTCACGCTGCCGCCGGTCGCGATAATAATGGCGCTGTCCCAGGAGCGGTGGTGTGGATGCAAAGGACGCCGGCACACACACACTCGTAGGAGGCGCGCTCCCGGCACACCCTAGTTATGCCGTGTGAAAACACATAGTCCGTTTTCTCAAATTGTCTCGATCCCACTCCGGGGTAAAGGTTTTTGTACATTAGCGTTCTAAAACCTACCCCCGCGTCCAGCATTTTTCCATCTGTGTTGTCACGTGACACGACCCGGCGGAGTAACTCGGATCCATTGGGGTAAGAGATTTAGAACACAGCCACAACTAGGGGTGTCGCGAACTTTTGTCGAACCAGATTTTTTGGTCGAACTTTCGGGGTTCGACTGGGTCGAACCGGTTCGACGAACCTTCGAACTTTTCACCAGATTCGACCGGTTCGACTTTGTGGACAGTGTGGCCAGACCTTAATACAAGCATGTCTAGGTTTGGAGAATTTTTTTTTTATGCAAAGGGTTATTTTATTGTGTGAACAGCTGCAATTAAAAGAAACTAATTCTATTCACTGAAGAAGTTCATAACTTAAATTTTAGTACTGTATTGACTGAAATAGCCGATCAGCTGCACTTAATTCATCTCTTAGCCATTACCATCCAATCCGAAGCCAACTGGCCAGCCTCTCGCGCATGCGCACACGAGTCGAACCTCAATGCAAGGTTCGACGAACTTTCCACTAAAAGGTCGAAAAAGTCGAACCTGGTCGAACCTGGTCGAACTCGAACCGCGGCCGGTTCGCGACTCCCCTAGCCACAACAGCCATACGTTCGTGCTCTATGGATTCACGAGCGACGGTTTCCAAGCGAGAGGCTCGTGTCAGCGCCCGTAATGTGCACGTGTTTTTTTTTTTTGTTTTTGTTTTTTGTCAAAACACCTCGAACCGGCGATTTCCTCGCGTGTACAAAAAACAAGCCCGAAATCCCGAGAAAGTCGGAATATGCCAAAAAGCGTTTTACAGAAATCTTTGAGAATCCAGGGTATTTACTGCGCGGGAATAGACGATGTATCTTTTGTTTCAAAGCATATTTAAGATTCCTGCGCTGCAAAAATCCAACCCAATTCGTACGATTTCCGCACTGTTTTTCGCACACGTGTTCCCTCCCGGCCGTTCGGACGAAAACGCCGCTCGTCGACCGAGCGCAAGGTAAGTACAATACGACGATCCTGAATTGTGACAATAAACGGCGAGCGTTCCAAGTTTCTCTGCCGCGACGACCCTGCAAGGGCAGTCGGTGGCGCCATCTGTCGACGTCAGCGCGCAACTGACGCTTTCCTCGGAACGAACACGGCACAGACAAAAAGTGATAAAAAAAAAAAAAGAAATAATACAATCCTCTTGCGTTCCGTTGGTTCTCCGCGCGCCGCTTTCAGTAGCGGCCCGTGTGCGTTGGGTCGCGGCAGCAACAGCGGCAGCTCCCCCGGTGTGGTGGCCTACGTGTGCTCGCTCTCTTCGCAACTGCAAGGTCGTTGGCACTCTGTCCGTTGGGGGCTTCTCCCGCTCAGCTGGACTATGTCGGCCTTGCACGCTGCGCCGCAGCAGTGGATACCTCTTCGGCGGGCTGCTCCGTGATCTTTTCGCGTCCAAGACGCGAGTTGACTGCGTGCGCGTCGTCGGCTTTGTTCCGTGTGTGTGCGTGCGTGTGTGCCTATGCTGGAGCATGTGGTGACAGTTGGGCGATCTGTCGTCTTCGCCGCTGGCAGCTGGGGAACGCGTTGAGCTCGAAGCGAAGCGTCCCTCCGAGTCGGAAGGAATGCGTATCCAGGCGAGCTGGAAGGACCGCTACGCTCGTGGGAAAGATCCAGGTAAGGAACCATCGACGGGACGCGTAACCGCTCATCCACACTGGAAGCGGATCCGCGTTCGCGGTTGTATAAAGATCCAGTGCACTTGTACACGCACTTGATGACATCGAGTGCGCGTGCAATGGTACTGGATCTTTATACAACCGCCGCGTTCGCAACCGCTTTGCGAACGCGGATCCGATTCCAGTGTGATTGAGCGGTAAGGGCTGGTGCGATTCGAAGGTAATTGCGGTCTTTTCTCGTTAATATAGACACCGTGGAATACGGATTCGTATTCGTTTAATACGTCACAGAAAATGTTGTTAGGACGACATTTTCTGCGACGAACTCGGTAAATCCGTGCGTTTTTGTCTCGCTAACATGGACGACTAGATATTATAGGCGATTTCTTTTTTGAGGAGGCGATCGGAAAGTGGCATCGTTTTACGAAGAACCCTGAGACTGAAGCAATGTGATGTCCTTTGGTCTCAATCTCGGGTTGTTTGGTAAATATGTTAAAATAAAACTTTCTTTATTTGTTGTTTCTTTCGTGCTCGAAATGAGGATTGAGAACACGTATAGAACGATTCGTTGTTAGTCATCCTTTTTAGTGTCACTATAGACCTATTTCTATATTACCCAAGCATCAAGGGGAGAATGCAGGGATTGGGTGTTCCACGCGCCACACGTGCTGGCTTCAGCAGGAGCAACTTTTTCGAAAGCAAAAACCTAAAACAAATTGTATCTTGCACGCGCGTTCGCCAACGCTTTATTTTGGTTATTTACTTCGAATCTTTTATACGGGGAAGGCGTGCGCGTGTGGCGCGTGGAACACCAATTCCTGCATTCTCCTTGATGCTTGGGTAATATAGCAAATAGTCTGTCTTTGATTCATCTGTTTGTCTTGTTTTCTTCTCTCGCGTTAATTTTTATTTGTTTTACTTGTCTGCGTGATTTTGCGTGCTGAAGGAGCTTTCGCGACCTTGAAAAAAAGGGAGAGAAAAAAAAAAAAAAAAAGAGCTCTTTTCTTGTTTCGGGACCGATGAACCGCGGCTCGCGCAACACGTACTCGGTCTAGGCGTTCGGTTGTTAAACTCTCCAATTTCGCTTTCACGTTTGTCGGAGCGGTCCTTTTCAAGCGCTGGATCGAGTCCCACGCCGAGTTCATTCGTCAGGCTTTGCGCTAATATTGACCCGAAGTAAAAAGAAAACATATATATATATATATATATAGATCGGGGTCATTGCCTCTTTTTTTTTTTTCCTCAGTTCTTCCAATCGGGCGGTAGCCTACATCCAACCGGTGATTGCGATATGTTTTCGCGCCGCATCTTTTGGGCTGTTGACCTCTTACTCAGTACATTACTATGCCTTTGTTCGACTTTCCTGGATCTCGAGAGTCTGAGGCAATCAGGACGGGTTGTCGCGTCATATCGGCTGTAGCCAGGTTCGGGCATAACTCTTTTGCCCTCTTTTTTTGTTATCTTGTTTAATACGTACGCCTTTTATTTATTTCCGAGGTTAGCGACTGGCTTCTAAACGAATGTCGCCAGAAGTAAGGGAACGATTCCATGACGACATTTAGAATGGGAGAGTTTTCCGAGCTCCATAGGGAGTGGTCACCAGCAGGAACCAACGCTCGTAACGTCGTATTTAGCAAATCCTTCGAAACCCGCTTGAGACGTCGGTCTTAAAAAAATGCCGATAACCGGATCTACCCTACCCTCTGTTTGCAACGTTGATCCGTCCCATCACCACCGCTTTCTGTGACTGTATATAATGTTATATATAAGAACATATATTACACAATATGACATATATCACGACCTATGTTATAGAATACAATATTAAATATAAGGACATATATTATACAGCATAATATCAGGTATAACCACAAATATTATAATATTATGTATTATGCGCTCAAATAACGTATATAATGTCCACCCGAGGGAGAGAAGTTCCCGCTGGCAATGTCTAAACTTCCTTCACAAAACTCTTTCCGATGCGTGTTTTTTTTTTGTATTTATTTTACCCGGCTCATTGTTTTATCCTGCCCTGCTTCGCCAATAATTTATATACAGTTTTCTCTCTCTCTCTCTCTCTCTCTCTCTCTCTCTCTATATATATATATATATATATATATATATATATATATATATATATTACTGTAAACGTGCGCGTCCATTTATTCGTTCATTAACGCTCAAACAAGCTTGTGTTTAAACTTGCTTTGCTTTCAGACGTTTTTATTTGAAGACCAAAGAAGTGGGCGCCCTTGGCGCTCATCATTAACATCGTCGTCATTAACATAAGTCATCATTAACGCGATCTTTCATGCACAAAATTCGTCACGTGTCATCATAATAAACAATCTAAAAAAAAAACACGTAGATAGTCTTTAGTGCGTGAAGTTTTAACTTTTAAACACGTACCTTATTTTCGGGACCATGGTCCGGAAAATGATGTTCATATCGTGAAATCTAAACCCCGCTACGAGGAGAAATAACATCACCTTCCGATTTGCAATGAATAAAAGAAATCCGCCCCTGTGGGTCGTAGCTCAACTTTTGGCAGCGCTGCGACGCCGTACTACGTGTGCCAGCCGCGAAAGCGCGGTACAGGCGCTAGGCCGTCTCCGAGGTCCTCGTCGGAGGGGGGGCACCCTTTGCCGGCACGGTTTCAAGGTTGGCCGGCCGTGTTGCGACAGCGCCGGTTCTTTGTCCTCGCGCGGGGTTGCTGCGCACTGCTCGGGATCTCGGAGCGGGTGTCGAAACCCCGGGGAAAGAGTTCGTCGATCCCGAGTCGGGACTCTCTTTGGGAGGGGAGGAGGGGGACGAACCTCTCGCGCGCTCTCTTGTTTGTCGGAGGGAACCGACGGCGCGGAGCGATTGGGGAATTTTAGGAGAGATCGTTCCGAGATACGTCCAGTGTGCTCGCTTTGAAGAGGGAAGTTTTTGTGCGTTGTTCATACGCCGCGGGAAGATTTGGTTGTTGGAGGAAGAAGCGCGATGCTCTTGGTGTTTGAAACATGTACGTCTGGATAAGGTAACTCATGTCTAATTTAAAATGTACATACATATATCTTACCATAAAAAGAAATGAAGTTAACAAAGCTGCGCAAAAAGCCTGACTTTTTTTTTTTTTTTTCGAGTACGATGTTTGAAGTGTTAAGTTTAAACCAAGCCACGTGAGACACATGCCATTGCATTTCAAACGATAGAAGTTGTATATTTTTATTGTTTCTTGATACTGAGAAGTAAATTATGGCGATACGATTTCAGATTTTCTACAACAAGCCGCTTAAAAAGAGGAAAAGAATCGTTTTGTTTTATCGCGTCATTTGTTTATGTCATTCTTTTTACCTACAGATTGTTCGTGAGTAATAATTCTATAAAGGTTGTGTTTCTATGGGTATGCTATCAACCGGGAACTGCCGGCGGTTTGATTCGAACAATTGCAGTCGATATCAAGTTTGAATAAGTTAGGGAGGGAAAGGGGGGGGGGGGCATTACATCTTTTAGTGTAGTCACGCTGGGGTTTTTCTTTCTTAGATAACTTTAAAGCACATGAGCGCCAAGGTGCAACGAACTAGTAGACAAGGCGAACAGTGCTCGCGGTCTGTTCGTTTCTTCCACCTGAATCAAGGGGCCCGTACCCGATAACGATACGACGTGTGCGTAAAGGAGCGTCGGATTAGTACAGGCCATCGTTATCAAAGTCATCCGAACGGTCTACAAAAAAAAAACAACTTCGTTATTTCACCCTAGCTAGTGAGATTGCGCCGTTAGCCGACAAGTTCGCCGAAGAGGAAGTCACGAAGTAAATCACGCCTAGCGTTTCTCCAAGCTGTCGGGGACTACGCATGGGCGTCTATGGAGCTGTACTTTTTTTTCCTTTGTGTGCGTCTCGAGTCGGCGATGTCTCGGCTGTAAAATGAACAATTTGACCAGCGCGATGTCCCCGCTAACTTGCGGCCTTTGTTTGGAGCTGGTTTAACCGCGTCGCTTTGGGTCAAACGCCTTTCCCCGCCAGCAGAAAAAACAAAACAACAACAAAAAACGAATGAGATTTGGAATATGTTGAAGAGACATGGTTGTGCGGTGTGCACGCTGTCAGCTTCGAGCGTCACATTTTGAAGGGATCGCGTTATCTGTTAAGCGCCCGGTGCCCGCCTCTTGGGTGCACTTCGAGTGGGAAATATAACATTGCTTATCTGTGTATTTGTTCGGGCAAACATAACACTCACCTCCTGCTTTACGGATAGTTTTCTGTTTTGTTTTTTTCTTTACAGTGTCGATTACGTTTCGTCGACTGTGCAACGTTTTGTTGTATTATTTTGTTTTCTGGATACGGTTGTGAAAAGCCGGCGAGCCTGACGAAAGCTAGCTATAAATATTCCGTTGACAGTCAGCGCCTTGTGTATGTACCCGGTTCCTTGCGTCCTGCGTCTATTTTAGGGCTTTTTTTACCTTTTTTTTTATCATTAGGGGCTAATTAGTCCAACCTAATGCTTTGTTGAAGGTTAGTCCTTTACACTTAAATAAATGGAAAAAGCAGAAAAGCTCTTTAACCGGAAGCAGCAAACGCAAATAAAACGATCAGAAGTTTAAAAAAAAAAAAAAATATATATATATATATATATATATATATAACGGTACTTTGCACGATGCTGTACAAACAAGTTTCTATGTAACACGAAATGCAGCAATAGTGTGGCTACGTTTATTTGTGGATGGAGAAGTATACACTTACCGCAAACAGCCCTGTTTTCAGACGTGACTGAATGCCACAGCGGAAACTCTTAAGAGCATTTGGTATTTTTCCGATCGCTTTCTAAGTGATGCAGACGTTGTTTACGAAAATTTGATATTGCTGTTTATCAGGAGTGTTCAGTGTTCTCTATATTTTATTTAAAATCTCCGGAGGGATTCTGTGTGGTTCTTGTCAGACTCGGGATTTATTTAGCTTATAATTTAATGTCCTCAAGTCTCTCTTATATACTTGTGTTGGTTCGGGTG